AAAAATATATATATATATATATATATATATATATATATATTTGTTTTAATATTAAATAACTTGAGTTTTCACTTCAATTACACAAATGTTGATTTACCCTTAAAATCATACCTGCATTAATGTTTAGTCATTGAAATACATCATAATGGATGCTTTACGTACACTTAATATACCGAAGGACCAGATGTTTGAAATAAGATTTCTGTTAAATAAAAACTGAAAGCAATACATCCTGACAACCTTGGATGCTGCAATCCATTTTAAGGCTGATAAAAGATTTCACTTGGTCCATAACTGTGACTTTTTTTTTCTGCAGAGATCAAACATGACCTCAGAAAATGGTTGATACACAAAATACAGTTGAAAATGTGAAATGAAAAGGTGGAAAAACACAAATACAGTGAAGTCATGCAGTCCCATCTTCCCTGACTAAAAAGACCTGATGTGGAGTCATACCAATGATGCACTCCTTCAACTTTTTTTGCAAGCCGTCATGTCTCCTGGGATCTTTTCAGTAGACACTGGCATACACAGCAGGAATGTTGCAATCACTCTAGCTGTGTAGGTGCTAAAGGCATAGCTGAGGTGACAGGGACAACATTTTCATTCTGCACAAGAAGCACACGAATTCAACACCTCCAAAATTGATTTATGTTCTTAGCAGAAATCACAAAAATGTCTCTTTTTTTGTCATTCACATAAACATTTGACCCAAAAAAGGTACTCTGTCAATGAGAAACAAATGTTTACAATGCAATTTAAGTAAACAGAAATGTCTATGACTACAAGCTGACAATAGTATTTATGACAAGCAGTACGCCACTGTGCCCAAGTGCTGACAGATTTGAATAATGAATATTTTGTAGTGTTTGAGATTAGTGTTTTTTTCTGAAGTGGAACTGAACAGGGAATGCAAGTAAACTGTAATGTTTTTGGTGCAAGTTATTGAAGTACGGCAGCACAGTGACACAGTTGGTAGAGCTGCCGCCTCTCAGTGAGAAGATTGCCGGATCAAATCCCAGCCGGGCCATTATGGGTGGCGCTTGCTTGTTCTCTCCGTGCATGAGTGGGTTTTCTCCGGGTAATCCGGTTTCCTCCCACAAACCAAAAACATGCATGTTAGGCTGATTGGTAACTCTAAATTGTCCCTAGGTGAGAGTGAGAGAGTGAATGGTTGTTTGTCTCGTTTGTCTCTATGTGTCCCTGTGATGGACTGGAGACCTGTCCAGGGTGTACCCCACCCCTCGCACAGTGATTGATGGACATGGGCACATATATATA